CTTATCATTAGGGAAATACATGTCAAAACCACAAGGAGATACCACTTCACTCCCATTAGGATGGCTATAATTTTTGCAGTTTTTTTTTTTGGCCGGGGCTGGGTTTGAACCCGCCACCTCTGGCATATGGGCCTGGCGCCCTACTCCTTTGAGCCACAGGAGCCGCCCTAGGATGGCTATAATTTAAATAAAGAAAATAACAAGTGTTGGGAAGGATGCTGAGAAATTCGAAGCCTTGTTCACTGTTGGTGGGAATGATGCAGCCGCTGCGGAAAACAATATTGTAGTTCCTCGAAAAGTTACACATTCAGCTCAACATCTGTAGCACAGTGGTTACAGCACCAGCCACATAACTGAGCGTGGCAAGTTCAAACCAGGCCCCATCCAGCTAAAACAGTGGTTCTCAACCTTCCTAATGCCGCAACCCTTTAATATAGTTCCTGTGGGTCACGACTCACAGGTTGGGAACTGCTGAGCTAAAACAATGACAACTGCAACAAAAAGTGGCCAGGCATTGTGGTGGGTGCCTGTGGTCCCAGCTACTTGAGAGGCTAAGGCAAGAGAATCGCTTGAGCCCAAGAGTTTGGGGTTGCTGTGAGCTGTGACACCACACAGCACTCTACCAAGAGCGACATAGTGAGACTCTCTCAAAAAGAAAAAACGAAAGAAAGAATCCTTCTTTAAAGGCCAGTTCTCCTGATGGTCTGCAAATCTCTCCCCTGGCAATGGGCTCCAAGGTCCATTGTATTCTAATCTCAGATTCAGCCCCAATAATTTGGGCCCTAACTCCAAGCAAAGAACTCAGGTGGTACGATCCACTGTTTGAAAGGCTGAGGCTTGAGCTTCCCTGGCTCAGGTAGTTTGGCAGATGGCTATCTAATATGTTCAACAGGATGCCAACAAAAGCACAACCCAATGTGGCCAGCTTTCCACTCTCTATTGCTTCCCCTTTTGCTTTCCCACAGGACAAGACTGCCACTCAGAAAGGAAAACAGAAGCCAGACTGACCAGCCTGGGTTTATTTTAAGTTGGAAAAATCCCTGTTTCCCCCACATCAGACAGGTCTAGATATTTAATATTGTTTGTGCTCTATACAGTGAAGGACATAATTCTTACCTATCTCAGCCTTCTGTGGTCTCCAGGACCCTTTCAGGAAGCTTATTCTATTAGATCTCAAACTAACCCAGTGAGGGTGAATGCATAAGAGCTGTTATCCCTCCACTGGAGAAATGAAGAAACTTGGGCTCAGGGAAATGAAGTCCCACAGCCCCAAGGAACAAGTCTGCACACAGGTAGTGAACTTCACAATTGTCCTTCCTCTCCATTACTTCAGAAAGATGAACAAAGCAAAAATGAAATCAGACCATTTTGAAGTTAAAGGAAAGCAAGGAAAAATGATTCCCAATTTGGCAACTAATAGTAGTCAGCTCATCCCCAGGGAAGCGGTCTGGGAAAGAACTAAAGCGCTCTCCTCTTTCTCTAACTAGCTCCATGAACCCCTGCATGTTTTTCATAACCCCCTCCCTTAACTACATGACCCTTTAAGAAATGATGGGCTCAAACTCCTGGCCTCCAAACGCGCGGGATTCTACAAGATTCTACCCAAGAGCCACTGCACTGGCTCTGAAAGGATGGATTTTCTTCATCTCAGCCAAGGGTCCTCAAACTTTCTAAACAGGGGGCCAGTTCACTGTCCCTCAGACCGTTGGAGGGCGGGACTGCGGCCCCGGAAAGAGTAGGCTGCTAAGCAGGACAGGCAGCGGCGGCAAAAAACACCTGGTGAGCCAGATAAATGTCCTCGGCGGCCGCGGGCCGTAGTTTGAGGACCCCTGTCTCAGACAAAGGAGCTGAGATTCAGAAAGCTTTAGGGCAGACTTCTGGACGCCAAGCCTCACAATTCCCCACAATCCGCCTTCAAAACAGATACCACAGCGCCTGGTCCCTCCTTTAAAAGCCCTCCCTTAGAGAGGCAGACGAATTTGAGACCCCTGCTCCCGTCCAAGACATCTGTCGTATTATTTCTTACTTAGCAATCATTGTTGGCTCCGTAATTGGAATTTTGTGCCACAAGCAACAGGACATAGACCAAAATCTCCTCGTGGTTTCAACATTTCTCTCCTGTCCACCCACCAAAACTTAGAAATTCGTAAATCTTTTCTTCTGGATTTTTATACTCAATGACTGGGACTGCGCGCCCATTGCACAGCCACTTGCTGTGTCCAAAGCGCGCTGTCGGACAGGGGAGTCTGCCAGACTCAAGGAAATATAGCACGGGGGTGGAAGGTTGGCTACGCCTCAGAGAAAAGGAACAGATCACACATAAACCAACAAGAGTCTAAAGTTAGAAGGAGCCCTGGACACCTACACGGGTAACATTCGCTTGGCAGGCAAGCGCCAAAGGAACCGCGGGTGGCAGACCACTGCCCTACCAACCCTCGCGTACACTCTGACAGCACCAAGCCTGGGAAGTCCTGGCATCTGATTTGTAGGCGGACGCCGTCTGCCCGCGCATGCACCAGCGACCGCGCATGCGCGCTTCGGTGGCTGTCTTTCACAAATAGTCTCCTTTTCCTCTCAACCCCCGTTCTAGACCCCAAACACTGGGTGCCTCCGCTTTGGCCCTCACTCTGCATTTCTCACCTTGCGCCCAGTTTTCTCCCGCAGGGCTCTTAGCCGTTCCTTTCTCCGCAGCGCCTCCTCCTCTAGCCGGCCTACACCGGCAGGAGTGGCCGCCATCTTGCCCACCAACCCCTCCTTTTCTCTGGTTCTGCATCGCGCAGGCCCAAGAAGAGTAGATGAACGTCTCACTGCCAATCCAAGGACGAGAACATGAGAGCCGGAAGTGTAGCAAGCCAATCAATACTAAGTTATAACGGGAGAGCCCGCCCTGCCCTTTACTGGGCAAATTGCCTCGCAGGTGACGAGCCGGGAAAAAAAAGGTGTTAAGGCTCGATTTGTCCAATGCTAATCAGTGAGAAAGTGGCAAGTGGAATCAGACCTGAAAGGAGGAGAGTAGAGTGTGTCGATTGCTCTGGTTCTGCCCCTAACTCCAGCCTCCTCCATGCCGGCCTCTTGACCCTTCCTTGTCCACTTATCTTGATTCTTCAAGGCTCGTATGCCTTCAGGAAGCCTTCCCTGACCCTCCACCTCGATTCCATCCTAATATGAGGTCTGCCTCTCCACACCTCTCCAACTGTCAATGGCTTCCCAGGCTCACCTGACCAAGTGCTGTTAAGCCCTGTATGTGCGATTTGTGCAGTGCAGGACCTGGCTGGATGGCCTTTCCCCCCTGGGTCAAAGATGATCCCCTCTCATCCCACTCCTTCCTGTAGCAGCAAAGTACTCAAGGTCAAGCTGCCTTTCCTGGAGATGACCAAACTGCAACCTGGAGGCAGTGGGCCCAGGACCCGGTCCTCCTACCCCCTAGTTGAGGAAGAGTAGGTTTGGCTTCCACTTTAGCAAGTGGCTACAAGGTTCAAGGCTCTGCAGCAGAAGCTGCCAGGGTTTTTCTTCCTGCAGAGTCTTCTACTTCCTGATCTGCCCTTCCCCATCTCCACTCCACTAGGCTGAAATCAAGAATGTTTGTCAGGGCTCGGCGCCTGTAGCTCAAACGGCTAAGGCGCCAGCCACATAACACCTAAGCTGGCAGGTTCGAATCCAGCCCGGGCCGCCAAACAACAATGATGGCTGCAAGCGAAAAAAAATAGCCAGGTGTTGTGGCGGGCACCTGTGGTCCCAGCAACTTGGGAGGCAGAGGCAGAAGACTTGCTTGAACCCAGGAGTTGGAGGTTGCTGTGAGCTATGCCACGGCACTCTACCCAGGGGGACAGCTTGAGGCTCTGTCTCAAAAAAAAAAAAAAAAAAAGAATTTTTGTCAGCATGTGAGGGATCCCCAAAACCACAGTCCTTCTCACCTGGGGATAGGAGGCCACGCCTTCCACCATCACCATACTGCACTACCCAACGTCCCCTGCAAGGGGATGACTAGCTTCTTAGGAAGGCTGTTCCTTTAATGGGGCCTCCCTCCCTTACCAGAGTGGCTGTAGGTCAATGCCCATTCCTCTTTTTCCAACTTCTTTTAGAACCCCATTGTCATAGATTCCATGTCTAGCCTCCTCCTGGGTCCATAGACCCTCTTAACCTCACTAACTTGGGTTTGTCTAGGCTCTCTCCCCTACAATGGATGGAATGCCCTGCTAAGGCTTGCCATGAAGATTGTAGATGCTCAGGAATCGTCAGCTCAGTGCTAGGATGAATGGAGAAGAGAAAAGACCAGACTGGAGGGGTAGCCCAAGAAGCTAGGAGGACAGAACAGGATAGTTATGCAGGCAGGGTTTGTCTTCTCTAGGCTACTCAAGGTCTAGAGGTCCCTAGACTGATCAATTCCTAGGACCAATAGTATCTTTCTGGGGCAGACAAACTTGCCCCCAGCTCTAACAAAGGGTCTGATCCCTGTCACAGGCAGTCGGGGCACAAGAAAAGGGGCACAGGGGTGATGATGGTAGTGACCCAGCATAATCAATCAGGCCTAGGTCTTTGTTCCTGCTGGCCCTGGCTGCCCAGGTGGTCCTCATTTGGCCTATCTGGGCCTCAGTTTTTCCATCTGTAAAACAGAGCCATAAGACACTCACCTCGTGAGGTTAAAGCAGTGATTTTCAACCGGTAAACCGACCCTCTGCATACTGGTGTGCCACGAGAGGATCTTAGGTGTGCCATGAAAATATTTAAAAATCATTAATTAAATTACTTCCAAAAGACGTTCAAAGCACTGTAAATATATTCTTTTTGTACTTTTTTTGGTCAACATATGTGGCAGCGAAAGTTTATAGGTTCAAGTGTGCGGTGAGATTTAAAAAAAAAAAAAGGTTGGAAAATACTGAGTTAAAGGAATGAAAATGTGAAGTAAACGCTGGGCCCTGGAGTGAAGGTCGCCTCCACTGAAGCATCTGGGAAGGCTTGGAGGGAGGAGGAAAAAGACCCACCGAGAGCACCGCTGCCCTGAAGGTATTTCAGGATAGTCCTGCTACTCTCTGTTCCCCCTCTAATCCTACTCCACAAACAGCTGTAACTCAAAAGTGGCGTTTCGGTCTTCCCATAAAGCTCTTAGAATGGCACGTGGTAAGCGCTACAAGTGGTCATCATGTAGGTGGCTATGTAAAGGACCTTGGCCATCCCCACGCGGCCTGCAGCCTCTTCCCGACTGGCGGCAAATCCAACCAGGCGGTTGCGTCCCTGGAGGATCCAGACGCTGGGCAAGCATTGAATCGCTGATCCCAACCCATCGTCTCTCTGTCCCGGAGGCTCAGACTGGCCTTACCAGAGGCACAGTGGAGGCGCGGCCTGCAGCCGGCGGGGCGGCGCAGCACTCTCCCTGGCCGCCCTGACCTTAGGCTCCTCCTCCTGCCCGGCTCTCCGCCCTTTGCTCGGTCCCGGGAGAGGCGGGGCGGCGGTGGCTGCGGTGAAGTGCAGGAAGCCGGGCGGCGGTCCGCGAGGAGGAGGGGCGTGCTGACTTGGGCGGCTCAGCGTGGCGGGGGTCAGAGCCGCAGACTTCCCCTAAGTGGTACCGCGCCGCTCCACCCCGGAGTGACGCCCTCCGCCCATGGGCCTGGCCCGGGGCAACCGGCGGGCGGCGCGGAGGAGGCGGCGACAGGTGGCGCGCAGCGGGGGCCGGAGCCAGGCCGGGACATGGCCGCCTCAGAGCGGCTGTACGAATTGTGGCTGCTCTATGACGCGCAGGTGAGCCCGCCCTGCCCCCCTCCGTGCCCCTTGCTTCTCGCACCCGGCGCTGGTTGCACCTGCTCGCAGCGATGCAGGGGCTGAGGAGATGTGCGCGCGCATGCGGGATGTCCTCCACCTCCCCACACACGTGTGTGCCCCCGGCCAGCCGGTGCCTCTGGTACTTACACCTGAGGATCGGAGATCGCGGGCGCGCACTTCATGGTAACCCCTCTAGAGGGACCGTGCAGCCTGAGTCTTGCTTGCAGGAGCAGAAGGTCCTGGGTCGAGGCAACTGGACACTCGCCGCTTTATGGATGAGGAAACTGAGGCTTGGAAAGAACTGGAGACTGACGGGGGAGAGGAGAAGAGTGGGATTCAGTTTGCCTGTGGGCTGCTCCTCTTGTGGGTGCGGTCCACTTAGATGGTCGTGGCCAACGAGTCTGAATATGTTAGGAGGTCTGGGCAGGTAGGGGTAGGGGCTGGAGAGGGGATGCTCCTGCCGCGAGCCCTTCTCAAGCCAGACGTCTCCAGGAACAGGCAGTAATAAGGTCTTCTTGGACTTGAGGCAGCCCCACCCACCCACGTTTGGAGGGAGAGTGCCCCCCCCACCTCTCTAAGAGTGGAAGATAAGATTTTGCTTGGGATGCAGAGGGTGGGATTGGGGGCTTGAGGTCAGGAGGAATGCCTGAAAGGGCTGGAGGGAGGCCCTTTTCTCCTGGGCTCCCTTGTCTCAGAAACCACCAAAGGTGGCCTTAGAAGGTGAAAGAAGTAACTAATCCTGATATCCCATCCGCTAAGAATTTGGTGTCCTTCAAACTCTGTCTCACACACATAAGCTTTTACTTTCTTCCTGCACCCACAGCAAGGAGGGATCCGTACGTAACACCTCCCTGCCTTTTACCCAACACACTCCCCCCTCCCTGCACCTGCCTGGCATCATGCTTCTGGCTCAGGTGTGTCCTGGGCACAATGGATCATTGTATGCCCCTGAACAGCTTGTCACTGGGGGGGGGGTGTTCATGCTCAGACCAGCTGGCCCTCTGAAGAGGCTGACTAAACATCTCCCAAGGACTGGAATCCAGGCCATAAGGGCCATAACCTCTTTCTACTGTCCAGGTTGTGAGAGGTCCAGGTCCCTGGCAGGAGGCAGTGGATGGAGTAGAGTCCCTGTTTGGTGTGAACCAGGCCAATCCAAAGTCTGTACTTCAGAGCCTCTGCTTCCCCGCTTATAAAACTGACACAGCCCTGACCTCTGGGGGCTGCCAGGACTCTGCAGAGGGATAGCCACTATGGCTAGCCTAGACCACAAAGAGCTCCTTGCTTCTCTGTAGCCATCGTGTCCCCTCACCCCAGCCTTTCTGTCTCCATCTCCAATGGCTGGTCCATGTGAAAGAGCAAAGAGTCTGAGGGGAAACTACTCTGGTCTTCCTACCTGTAATTGCTCCTTAGCTCAGGGCAGGTTCTTGGTTCATGACCAGGTGAAGGGGGCTTAAATTCATCTGAGAGATGTTAATGATAGTTCTTCAGGCTGGATGGCAGGCTGCTTGGAGTGTTCTGACAGACCCAGATAGATACCGGGACTGTACCTGCAGCATGGTTGCCCCTTGCTGCCCCTTCTAGCTGAGCTCTGCAGTTACCTGCCTCTTACCTCCTCAGAAGGTGTTTAGCACTCAGTATCTGTGCTGGTACCTCTGCCCTCAGCTCATCCCCTCACTGGACAGGCATGGGGCACAGGATGGCTGGTGGTAGCTTTGGAAGCCTGGGCAGGCAGGGGGCATCCTGGGGCCAGGCAAACAAATCCAGGATGTGAGAGCATACCCAGGAGCAGGCGGAGCCAGCCTGCCCAGGGAGAGGAAGCAAGGCCAGCCTCCCAGCACTGCCTTCCTGCTGCCTGGTCCTGCTCCTGCTCCCGGAACACCATCCCCACCCCTTGTGCTGAGCTCCCAGGGAGGGATAGTGCTGTGTAATTTTGAGTCCTGCTAGGGACCTATTGTATGTGTGCTTGGGGGAGGGAAAGTACAAGGTGAGGGGAGGAACT